TTACCATTTTTAATGTGACGTAGTTTTTCTATTGGTATTTTGATAATACAGTCATAATTTATGCTTAATTTACTAACACCTTCAGTTATGCCTTCTGCCATCGTTCCTATAGAAATAAATTGAAATTCTAATTGCAGACAATGCTGTAAAACTGTTAGAGCTCTTTCAAACACTGCACCTATAGCGTTTTTTGAAATATTTATAAGGATTATTATTTATCGATTGTCTATTTTAGATTTAGATTACAAAATCATTGATCATGCTTTCTTTTCTTTTGAGATTAACACATTTACTCATTGATTTGAATAAATCCAACAAAGGAACTGTCTCTAGTTTTGTTAAGTGTTTATTTGAGAAACTACTAGCAACCTTTGTAATGAAAACTGTTTAAAATCTTAATGAACTATTAAAATGAAAGTAGGAAATCCATTTAGATTATATATAGATATTTATAATATAATAACCACAGAGATTAGGGTTACAGGTAAATCCATACCCATTAGGGGTGAATGTCTTACGATGACCAAGGAAAACGGTTGTTGTTGATATTTATAGAAATAAAAAAATATGATAATATATTTATTGAAGAGCTATTATACTATATGCTAACTCAAGAAAACAATGGATTCATCAGCTAATATCCTTCCAAGCCTATAATCATCCCAAATTTCAAATATTTTCTGTACTTTATTATTCAGTCTATTGTACCATCCTTCCACACTATTATTAGTCCCTATTAATAATCCAAAGACTGACCAATTCAATGGTTTCCAAGTAGAATTCAAAATCCAAGTATTTTCGAAATATTCCAGCAAGTCTGAAAATGTTCTCAGGATTAGCGTTAAGATTGCATAGGGGTCCCCAAAGAAATTTTGGGTTAATCACTTATGGACTTATACAGTTTTGGCTATTGATTATAAATCTGCAAAAATCGACCTCAAAATGTTTTAACTTTGGCTGTTGTTTTTTAAAAACGTTTAAAAAAACTACTATCATTCTATAGAGATAAAAAAACAAACTTCCAATGCGTTTTTAAAGTTGATATTTATTAGGAACATGTAACTTGGGCCTATTCAACTTTTTGTCTAAAGATATACCTAATAGTGCTTTTAGTTTACCTATTGTTTTTTTTATAACTTTTAAAAAAAAATTATACATGCAAGGTCATAATTTGGGTCAAGAATTTTTATTGATGCATGATGTTTGTTTTTGTGAGATGCAAGCTCATACAAAATTTGAGTACAATTGGAGTAGTATTAACAAAGTTACAGTTCGCAAAAGTTTGATAAAATGTCTGGAGTCTTTTTTTTAATGTTATGTATTGTTTGCAAGTGTGAATTTTAACTTGGGAAAAGTTCTTATTACGTTTTCAATAAAGGTATTGATTCATTTTGACTCTTGAATATTTTTGATAGTAGCCACCTGGTGGATGGTATTGATATTAGACACCTGGTGGATGGTATTGATATTAGACACCTGGTGGATGGTATTGATATTAGACACCTGGTGGATGGTATTGATATTAGACACCTTGTGGATTGCTTTGATATTAACCCTGGATAATATTTGAGAATTTTAGAGAATATTGAAGAATATTTGATAATAATGTTATAATTTGAAAGTTGATTGATGGACAATTTTTGTGCACTTAGAAATAATAACATGACAATATTTAGACTTTGACCAAGTGAACCCAGGCTTTTTGAAATGTATAAAAGGAATTACATTACAAAGTCAATTTTAAGAAAATTTTTCTTTAAGATTTTTGAATTTAAAATATTTCAGTTGTTGAGTAAATTTGAAGAAAGAGAATTGAGTTTGGCCCTGGAATTAGTATATCATCATCAATTTCAAAAACAATGTATTCAAAGTCAATACTGCTGCTAATTTGTTAAATATAAAACATTGATCAATACTACTTCCTATAAATAGAACAATATTGGTTGATCAATAAATGAAAGAAATCTGAAGAGGAGAGACATCGCATTAAAAAATTGGAATATTTTTTCGCAAAAGTGACTCAGTATTGACATTGAAGCAATTGGAAAAACAATCTACCTCAGCAAAATTAGCCTGCTGATATGTATATATATATATATATATATCTGTATTGGTAATTCTTTAGATTGATTATGTAAGTGACAAATACTCTCTTAATCTAAAAAGAACAGATAATAGAAGCCATTTTGAGTTTAAAAATCAGCTCTCTTCACACTGTAACCAGAAATTAAAAAGAAATGTGATGAATATTTCCCAAAGGTGTGATTTTCATGTGAAAAGATATTTGTGAACAATGAAAAATCCTCTTTTAAAATATCATGCAAAACAGATTAAAGCTGTTCTAGAAAATGATAAATTATTTAATAAAAAATTACAAGAGTTAAAAATTAATTTAAATTGCTTTGATGATAGCAGCAAACTGTTGAAAATTATAGAAAGTATTCAATTCTTTGATAAGAAATATACTGAAATTGAAAATTTGATTAAAAATACATGGAAAAATGTAATTATTGAAAGAAAATATTCTTTTCAAATGGAATTTGAATTCTATCCTAAATTTTCATTGAACAATTAAAATTCTTCTAATATTAAATTTGATGATATATTGACACCAACTCAACTTTTATTGAGAAATTGTAATAAAAATCAAGAAAATTTTGGCTTATTTTTCAAAGTTGAACAATTTTTAAATTATTTAAAATTTTTAAAAAATTTCAATCAAATAGTTTGAAAGAATTATATATTGAAAATTGTGGATTGGCAGAAGCGATTGAAATCAATTGTCCAAATTTAAAAATATGTAAACTGGTAAAAGTTGGTAGAAAATTATATTTGAAACAATTTTTTAAAGACAATTTCAAATTACAAAAATTAAATATATCTGGAATTTCATTATTAAATGATCTGGGAAAGAATTTCTTTGAAATATTAAGTAATTTGACAATATCATTATCATCTCTCAAATGTAATGATTGTTAAATGATTACAAAATCAAATGATTTACTTAATTTACTTAAAAATCACAATTGTTTAAATACTTTAGAAATGGATGGTAATCAAGTTGATTTGATTGATAAATTTGTTGATACTTTGGATTTTTTTACATCTATTTTTTCAGCACATTGTCTAAAAGTATTAAAATTACCAATTATTAAATGCCCAAATAATCAAATAACAATGAAGACAGCAACAAATATTGATGATTTCTTGATGATAAAACTGGATTTGATATATCTAGATTTTGGTGGAAATTCTCTAGATAATATCTTGATATGTAATTTTATTAAAAAGCTAACTTCTTTTTCAATTAGTTTAAAAATCCTTGCTACAAATTGCTACAATTCAACTTTTAATGACTTATTGAATGATATTAATTTCTCTAATTATTCTAATTTTAAATATTTGAAAATTGTACATTCAAATTCAAATTTAAATTTGAAAGAGTTTAATGAACTTTTCACTTGTCCAAATAAGATCCTATCTCTAAATGTTATAAGAAAAATTCACCTAAAAAATTGTCAACTATCTGATGATTTTTTAACAACATTGACAAATATTTGGACTGAACTAACTTCAATAAAAACTTTGGATATAAGTTATAATGAATTTACAAAGGATACTAGTTTAAATTTTTTAAAGATGATTAAACATGAAAAATTTCAACAATTTGATAATTTGTATGTACTTTGTTGTATTGTAATTGTAGGAAGTCCTAGCTCGTCACTATCAAATTCGTCCTCTCCAATCATTTACCAATGTGCCAAAGTACTGGTCCAAATAGAACCTTTCAAGTTCGTCCACAAGTAGTCTTAATAAATGTAATTCCAGTAAAAATTAACCAACAAACACCAGTATTTCATTCAAAGAATATGTATTTGAGTAAATGAGTTTCTAGTTCTAAACAAGCAAGTTTGAACAACCAGCTGATGGTTAGAAAACTGAACTGACTACTGTTAAATTCGTAGGGTTTATATACTTTTCCAATAGTTCACAGTTCACAGATAAAAATATTCACACAAAGAAATGTAACAATTTGGATAAAGGGAAAGTTCAAATATACTTCCATGTTTGTTACTTTTTCTTTATCTTGGAGAACTTTTGCTCCCTATTTTAGTAGGTCAGAAAGTTGCCTAAGATGTAACAATTATTAATAGAAGTTGGATTGATTCCAAAACACAAAAATAGGAAAAGGTCAACTTGATGCCGTTTTAATATACAACAAATTATTAATAATAATTGTTTGTGTAAGATAATATGTTTCTGTGTAAAGGACTGGTAGGATAAAAGTATTAAACTTAATCATCTAATATAGTATTGTGCATACAATACTGTTGAAAAGTGACAATAATCTAAAAACTCCAAATATAAATAGAATAGTGGAAGATATAATTAATATTCATTAAATATGATGTGTATAATAATTTGGGTTAACATCTAGTTAGTTTAAATAGTGTATGTTGTAGTTTTAGGCGTGTAGAGTACTTTATAATACTCTTTCAATATTGCTTTCCATTGATGAATGAAATGTAACAATTTGGGTGTATTGTGTGAATTTGTGAGCCTGGTTACAAGCTTATGTGTTTAGTACCTACAAACTGCCTAAATGTGTACATTGTATATGCATCATTGTAATTGGAAAAATACGGATATATCTGAATATTTGAATTCAATTATGGAATTAAAATTTTTAAGAATTTTCAATTCAAAATCAAATGCTGCTAAACTGGTATCACATGCTGTTGTTGATGTAAATAATTCTTTTGAAAACAATTGACAGCATCTTAAATTGGACATTAAATAGTAATATTTTCTTTTTTTGCCACTCATCAAAACAAATACCAAGTGAATTTGATGATATTCACAAGTTTTCCTTTTAAAACCATGAATAGAAAACAGTTGGTAGAATGGAGGTTGTTCCATCAACAAACCATATTTTCACTTTGCTAACAATTCAAGCTGGTGCTTTGTACTTAAAATTATATTTCAATGGACCTTCAAATTATGGACAAAGAACTAACTGGTGTACCAGTCATAACTTCAGCAGAAGGTAAGGTTTTAAAGCCCAAAGGAACAGCAATAATCAAAATCCAGTTTGCTGGAGGAACCATGGAACAAGAATTTATTGTTATGAAAAAGTTGGACATAGCCATAATACTTGGGTGTGATTTCCTACATAGTGTGGGAGCTAATATTGACTTTGAAAACAAACAAGTCTCCCTCCCATTGCTTTGCAGAAAAAGGACTAGACAGCATAACCAAAGTCAACAATTCAAAATAACTGTTGCAATGATGAGACAATATATGTCTAGAAAATATATTAGAGATTTCAATGGCATCAAAATAATGCAAGATTTACAATATCAATATGAAAATTATGAATCCCCACATACTCCACAAATAAAGATGATTTTGACAATTATTTTAGCCTATCTTATAAAAGATGATGAATTAGATACAGCGAATGCTAGCAAAGAGGTTATAAAAGACTTATTTGACCATCTTGAAGGTAGCCTCCAAACATAGAATCATTGGAAAGATGGTTTTTCAGCTCTTGAAATATTACAAGCTGTAAATAGGTTAGCTATTAGTGATAAAAATAAACAACTCTTTGCTGACTACATTCCATTGATTATAGAAGTGATAAAATCTCCACAAAATGACGATGAAGAAGACAGTGCAGTGAAATTTTTGTGGACACTATCTTTCAATAAAAAATGCAGGAAAATTCTTAAAGAAGAAGAACATTTCAACTTTATCCAGTCAAAAGTATCAAATAATTCCAATTCAAGTAGAAAACACTCATTTGAAGGTATAATTTGGCAGCTAAGCCAAAAGAAGAGACAAAACAATAAAATTATCAGAGAGAATAATGATAAATCCAATTCTGATCATATTATGTTGAGCTATCAATGGTCCTATAAACCAATTGTCCTGGCAATCAGTAATTTCCTTAAATCAAAAGTCTTCAAGATTTGGATTGATGTTGAATCTATGGGTTAGCTTTGATTTTTTTTTAGATATTGACTATATTTTTTATATTAAATTAAAAAGGTGGCTCAATTCTTGAAAGCATGGCAAAAGCTGTTGAAAATGCTATGGTTGTGCTTGTTCGTTATTCACAAAAATATCAGGATAGTCCATCTTGCAGGAGTGGTAAAACATTTCCTTATTAATTATATATAATTTTGAAAATAATTTTGAAATTTTGAATTCAGATAGAAGCTGAATATGCTGCTCAAAAGAGAAAAGTCATTATTCCTATAAAAATGGAAGAAAATTTTGAACCTGAAAATTGGTTGGGTTTAATTCTTGGAAGTAAACTTTATATTAACTTTTCTAAGCCTGCAAAGAGAAATGAATCATTTCAAAATTTATTAAAAGAACTAACAAATAAGGTGGAGCAATTGGATTCAATTGATAATTCTACAAATGGAGAAAAATCTCCAACAATTGAAATTAATGAATACTCAGAAATTGAAAATTTCTATTTTCTCTTAAACAGTATGCAACATAATAAGCAAAACTGGCGAATATCCATATATGGAAGATAATCTTAAGAAATGTTGCACTTTGTTGTATTGTAATTGTAGGAATTTCTGGTTCGTCACAACTGTAATCGTCCTTTCCAATCAATTACCAACTTGCCAAAGTACTGGTCCAAATAGAACCTTTAAAGTTTGTCGACAAATAGTCTAACAAAGGCAATTTCGGTAGAAATTAATTAACAAAACACCAGTATTTCGTCCAAAGAATATGTATTGAGTAAAATGAGCTTCTAGTTCTAAACAAGCTAGTTTAAACAACTAGCTGATGGTTAGAAAACTGAACTGTCAACTGTTAATTTCGTAGGGTTTATATACTCTTTTAAGGGTTGATAGTTCACAAATTTCAATGTTCACAAAAACAAAAGTAACATTTGAAGACAAAGAAAAGTTCTAAATATGGTCATGTTTTTATTGTTTTC